AAGGCACAGCCATCCTCACAGCAGGGGTGGGGGTGGGAAGCTTCACTACTTTTCCCAGATGAAGCCCCCAAAGGCAAAGTCACAGATCCAAGATGGCCCAGAAGTCACTGGCCCCTCCTACATCTGTCAGGAAATATCTTCTGCTCATTGGTTTGGAGAGAACAGGCTGTCAGCCCCCCAGATGTTGAGTGCCTGTTATACATCCTGCAACTCCCAACTTGTCCCACTCCTAATAGGATGAGGGGACAGAGTACTTCATCTCAGGATGTCACAAACCAAGAACCTGGGCAGGGCCATTTAGCTCCAGGCTTCAGGTAGGGCTGATTCTAGCTAAATTACAGAGAGAAGCCCAAGGAAGGAAAGCAGTGGAGGTACTGGTCCCAGGTTCTTAGCTCCAGGAAGAACCTGTGTCTAAGAGGAATGATGGAAACCACAGAACTGTGGCTGGCAGGGGGCAGGGCTCCCCCAGGTATGCTGCCACTGTGCCCCACTCACAAGCCATTGTCTAGTTCTCTTGATTAATCCTCTCAACCCATTGAGTAGGTATTACTTCCTGCATTCTAAAGATTAGGAAACTAAAGGGGTCAAATAACTTGCCCCAAAACATGTAGCTAAACATTGGCAAAGGAGCATCAAACCCTGGGCCTGATCCCCAGCTCCTTCCACTCTGTGGGGCTTTTCTGACTCCCCAGCTGGCTCTCAAGACATTGCTCAGCTCTGCAGATTCCCCCTGCATCTTAGCTTCCCTTGCCTGAAAAGAGACAATCCTGCGTGAATTGCATACCCCAAGCCTGTCCCCAGTAAGCCACCAAAGCAGGGCCCTCAGAGTACTCTGAGATCTCCTTAGAGGAAAAGCTAAGTCCAGAACGGCCAGTTCTGGACCAGCTGTAAATGTACCCAGTGGCCCATGGACTGTGTGAGGCTAGTTTCTTCTTGTGACACACCAAGGAGACTGGAAGGAAGTGACTTGGGGAGAACCCCTGAAATAGTGATGTGCTAATAAATAGTTAGTTGGCTTTCTGGGGGAGGGGTGGAGAGAGCAGAGGGAGGTTCTGTTATGTACCATTTGCAAATTTTCTTGCTTCAACCATGGTCAATTGAAGATGTTCATATGATGTAAACCAGCTTACAAAATTCCTGAACATTTTAACAACTGGCTTTCACAGGCCATGACAAGGCAGCTCCAGCACACTGCTGAATGTGCATGTCCTGCCCTGTTCCAGCCCTGTTCTAAAGGCTGTGCTGCCCCCAAAACTTACCTCAAGTTACCTCCATCCCCCTGCAGCAGCACCCCCCCACACACACCATGGACAGCTGCACGTCCTTTCAGCTCCAGTTCTTGGGAAACGGAGGTCTCTGGCTAGAAAAAGAAATCTATTTGGAGATAAACATTCATCCTCAAATCTGGAAGAAATGCAGAGTTTGCTGAATTGGCCCCCATGAGCTACATCTGAGTCATCATCCCCCTCAGTCCAGCTCTGCTCTCTTCTTCCTGCTTCCCCCAAGTAACAGCCTCTAGCTGGGGCCCCTTGGCATGCATGCAAGTGACCACTTTGATTTACATTTTTATTCCCTTGCATTCCTCGTCAGCCCAGCAGGGCCTTCTCCTACCTGTCCCCAAGGTCCTCCCTAGGAGGGGCCAGGTGAGAGACAAAGGAGCAACTCTATCTCCCTCTTTATTTTAGAGACTCATCTTACTGGAAGCCCCTGCCAATTCCTGCAAGGATGGGAGAAAATGCATCTAGTGGGCATAGCAGAGCATACCAGTCTCTGACATTTCACCCTCAAATTAGCTGTGGGGACACAGCTGTGCCTTGCTTTATGGCAGCAGCACATTCTGGAAATCTGATGTTTCATAATAACAACCACCCCACCATATGAGAAGCACTGTAGAGTTTCCAAAGCCCTTTTACATAGGTCATCTAATGCGAGCTTCCTGCCAAGCTGGTGCTATGGTTGGTGATTGTTAAGCACTCTCTTTGAGTCCCAGCCTGTCAGTATTGGAGAGAACTTCAGATGTTACCTAACTTGGCCACCCAGCTAACGTTGCCATCCTCTCCTGGGAACAGCACATTCTAGTCAAGGAGAGTCTGGGGCTTGGAAAGGTGTTGTTTAGGTTGTCCTCTTGTTATCACTTTAGTGCATTGCTTGGAGTTTGGCCCTTTGGGGCACACAGAACAGAACTGATACAATCTAATCCCCTCATTTGGATATTCAAAAGGGGCTTTCACATCTCCCTATTTCTCCCTGCTTCTCAAATCTTGCTTATATGTTCTAGGCTCCTTCAAATATTCTTTATATGGTGTGCTACAGAATCCCTTCACCATCCTGGTCAACTCTTCTCTGAATGTGCCTTCATACACTTGTTTAATCAGAGTAGGACAAGACCAGAAGTTTCCCCATCCTATGAGCCATGCTTCTGTTTAATTTACCCTCAGACAGCATTAGTTCATGTTCCCTCTCTCTCTCTCAGTTGTGTTCTGTTTGGACAGATATCTACACTTTGGATATATTGAGCTAGCTGTCAACTAAAATATTGCTGCTAAGCCATGTCTCCCTTGTTCTTCACTTAACATTATTGATTTTTTTTTTTGGCCCAATGTTAGAAGTGTTCAATTTTAACTTATAAGATGAAAATTAATCTTATTAGGTTTATCATACTGCCAAAATCTGTAAAGATCTTTTGGATTCCAGTTGCATGTCATCCATAAATTTGCTGAACGTTTCTTTAGCTATCCTCTAAGTCACTGGTAAAAAATGTTGAAGAGGACGAGGGATGAAGCACGAGGCTCTTGCCTAGAAACCTCCCCAAAGCTAACATCTATCCTCTAACTGTCATCCCTCTGGTATAGTTTGCTAATCCACACAATGCCCAGTGGGCCACATTTCTCTGTGTTTTCCACAAGGATATCATGGGAGATAACCTTTCCGAGGTCGATTGCACCATATTTTCCTGATCTGTCAGGGAAGAATCATGACAAAGCCACAAACTGAGCTCCACAAGAGCAGGTGCTCACCTTTGTGATCACGTTGCCTCATGGAGTGCTTGGTATAGAGCAGGCCTTCCAAAGATTCTGAAGAACAGGCCCTTTGCATCCATGAGTAAATGAATGAACGAATCAGTCTGGGCAGATCAGGGTGAAGAGGGCCAAAATTTGAGTTTTCTGAATCCACCTTCTTTCTCTATTTTGGTTTTTTTGATGCAGAGTCCCCCTGTGTAGCCCAGGATGTGTTCAAACTTGCAACCCCCTGCCTCAGCCTCCTGAGTGCTGGGATTATAGGCATGTTCTACTCTTCTTTCTTATAGCACCTTTTTTATGCTCACGAATCCTGAAAGGCCCCCAATTTACTTCCTGATTTTAAAAAAATAGGAGTTTAGGAAATTAAGGGATTCACCCAAGATTAAAGGCAAAAAAAAAAGGAAACAGTAGGATTCAGGCAACAGTCTGGTGGGTTCAAGGCACCATGACATTCTGCCATGCCTCTTAGTGGATTTAGGAGCACTCCCCAGCTCAGTGACAAGGGAGAATCCTAACAAAAGTGATATGCTATAGTAAACCCAAACATTTCTTTTTTGCTCTCAACTTCATTCATCTGCCATCATTCATTAATTCATTGATTCATTGATTGAAAAAATATTTATCTAACACCAACTAGTGCCAGATTATCCTGATCCCTAGGAATATAACTGTTATAAGACCACCTTGAGCTTAAGTTTTAGTTAGGAGTGGGAAAAAAATAAATAGGCAAATGGACATATGTGGTTGTGGTGAGGGCACTGCAGAAGAATAAAGCTAGAGGCAGAGGGGCTAGATTTTACTCCAAAGGAAAGGCATCTGAGCAGACATAAATGAGAACAAGACATGCACTCCAGCATATCTTGGGGATATACACACCAGCAATGATGCGCTTGTACTCACAGAAATACAATTTTTTTAAATCCAGAAAGCAGGGACCTAGATCCTATAATGAACATCTCAGCTGTAAAATATCTGATTCCTTCAAGGCATATTCTTTCATTTATTTATTCACTCGTTTTCTACACAAATATATTTATTAAGCATCAATCATTTTTATTAAGCATGCACAGCTGGGTGGTGAGGATAAAGGAGTGAACAAGGCCTTGGAGCAGGATACAGACAACTACATTTAGGCCAACAACACAGTGTGATAAGAGCTATTATGGTGCTAGGGACAGGTTGATGTAACAGAACAGTCAAGAAATGTCACCATTTACCATTCTAGAGATCTATGTGACTGGAGGAAATGTAAAAGCATTAAATTCCATAATGATGGTGTTCAAAAGTTTTAAACCTACTGAACCATTTCTTTAAACTAAACCTTAGACAGTAAGTCCAATATATAATATTAAAAAGTTGCTCTGGTTGATACAAAATTGAAAGCCTTGGGACACCTTCAAAAACCTATAATATAGTATGAAAACCACTTCTCTAAATATTTGTTCTGGCCAAGAAGAGAAATCTGCCCATTGTCCATTAAAATCGTATCTTCAAATGGCCAGGTGAACCAAATTTGGAGAGCCATTCAGTCGTCAATTAAAACCATTAGATGTGTTAGCTTGTGGCTTGCATAAAGGAATAAATAAACATCTACCCAAATGAGAACCGACTCGGTTACTTTTGTTCCTGCTCTCCAGAGTCATCAAATCAAACTTATTAACATCCAGAAGACTTGTAGGCATACCTTAAATGGTTCATTTTATTTTTTCTACTTCTGGGGTAGGGTCACTACATTAGGAATCATCTCTGGAAGTGTTCTGGACATCACCTGGTATAGGGTGGCTCTAAATTGTTTTCTAAAACATTCTTTGAAGAAAGGCTTGCTTTTCTTTCCATTATAGCCCACCGACAAATGGATGCTAGTTGTATACTCACAAATCTCTTGCTCACATCCTCTTTTCCAGGCACACCGCAGCTCTCACCCTCTAGCTTGGGAGCCTGCAGAGCTAAGCTGCCATCTCCCCTTTCTTCTCTCTGCAGATGACGGCGACTTCCCAGCCACCCTCCAAGGCCCAGGCTGTCCACATCTCTGCACCATCAGCTACCGCCAGCACACCTGTGCCCAGTGCCCCCATTGACCCCCAGGCCCAGCTGGAAGCTGACAAGAGAGCTGTGTACAGGTAGGAGACCCTCTGTCCCTGTTGTTCAAAAGCCCCAGGGAGTCTCATGCCCAGGTCAGCCATGAGAGATGTACAAGGCAGAATGGGTGGGTGTGTCAGCAAAGTGGTCAACAGCTGCTCTCCTTAGCCCCCCTCTCTCAAGTCAACCCAGAAACCCCCTAGCTGCCTACTGTGCGCTGACTTGAGCTTCTTGGAAGTGACTAGTGAGGTGTACGAAGGCCTGAGCAGTATCTCCCATGAGAATCCCCTCCCATCTCAGGTAGGGAGATAAGCCCTAACGAGGATTAGAACCCTCAGCTCAGCCAAAGGCAGCTGCTTTGGGATCCTATCCTTGTCCTGCCTCCCACTGCTGCCTTCACTCCAACAAACCCACCAGAAAATCAGACATCTGATCACCCTATCCAGCACTTGTTAGTACACAAACCTCTTGTGCATGCAAATCACAGGGGGAGCTCATTAAAACTCATAGTCCCAGCCTCCATGGCCAGAGATGCTAATTCAGTAGGTCAGGCTACAAGAGGGGTATGAAGTTTTTAAAAAGCATCCAGGTGAATCGGATGAGGTGGTCGTTGGCCCACACTTTGAGTCATAGTAGTCTGTGCTTTAGCAATAGGAGTTGTGTGTGGCTGTGTAAGGCCCCATACTCTCCCCCAAGATGGTAGTGTGTTCCTCTTGTTCTGCATCTGTCCTGTGCACCCAGAGCTGGGTTCTGGATATTGCAGAGAGGTATGTGAAGCTCAGGGAAATGCCTGTCAGCCTTGATGAACTTTGGTTCCTATATATGTGGTTGGAGAAGATGTGGTCATCTGACAACAGGCCTGAATAAGACTTCAGCAGGAACTGTAGTCATCATCTATTTATGGGGGGCACACACTTAGCAGAAAAGATGCTTAAATCAGCACTCAGTATTGAGGCTGGACCCTTGTTCACCTTCACTAATGTGAGTTCATAGGTTTCCAGGCAGCATCAGCAAGCGCAGCTCACCATAGCTGAGTATAGATTGTAGCTAAGGCCAGTAACATATGGAATGATACACCCAAGACAAATGAGTAGGAACATGGATCCCTGGTTGAAGGTTAACCTCACCCTCAGTGACAATGTTTTTTACTGTAATTTTCATAATTATTGCTGTTATTATCATTATCATTGCAATTATTTTTAGCTGAATACCTCTAATGCCAACAGTTGGGAAATCCAGAGCAGTGGCTTGATCCAGGGACCCTGGCACTTCCCAGAAGGATAAGACACAGAGCCTGGTCCCCACCCTGTGAATGCAAGGGCCAAGAGCCAGCTACTTCCAAATACAAGCTCTGCCTTGGACCCCAAAAAATTCTTGCTCTGGTCACAGTATCTGTCAGGGATACTTTCAGGAAGGGCAAACCAGCCTCTTCCGGTGTAGGACATGTCCTCCTGTCCGCCCTCCTTTCCCTCCTTCCCATGCTTCTATTGAATTCTTACTATTAATATTGCAGGCACTGTGCTTGGCTTCAGGGAAAGATGGTGAGTTAGGAAGGAAATCATAGACACTTCCCTTTGTCTCCAGGAACCAATTGATATGCAAATAAGAAAACAATGCTGTGTAGTCAGACTAAAAGGGGAGACTTCATGGAGGAGGCAGTATTTGAGTTTGACCTTACAGGCTAACAGATACCAGGTGGAAAAATGAGCAGAGGAGAATCTGTGTCCAGGAAAGGCCAATGGTCAGAGCAGCTAGGGGTGGCATGGGTGGGGAATGAGGCTGAGCAGCCAGCTGTAAATCACCCTGGGCAATGTATGCTGGGCTTTTGCTTTTGTGAGAGGCCTAGGGAGAAAGAGGGGAGCAAAGGAGCCTCTGAAAACTGCCCAACGGCTGATGACTCCTGTATATGCTCATGATTCTCTTTAGATTGGACCAGCAGCATGTGGGAGCTGATTATAAATATAGAATCTCAGGACCCCCCAGACTTCAGGGTTCATGATCTACATTTTCACAAGATATCAGGTGATTTGTATGTGTACTACACTGATCCTGGGGATCCTCTCAGACTCCTGGGAATGGGGACCAGTAGCAAGCATAGACTATAGCACACTCTGTAGCATTGATGGTGAATCTATTGTATGCATGCCACAGTGGGCTGTATCATTGAAAGCTCTGAAAGGTTTGCCATCACTGCTCTATAGAGACCATCTGAAAGTTCCTAGAAACCTAGTCTTGGGTCCTGCTTCCACTGAACACTAGTCTCTCTGAGCTGTAATTTCATGATAGAACTAAAGCAGCAGATTTGATAAGCATTATCCAAACAGCCCATGTAAGCACCTGGCACTGCATCTGGCACAAAGCATATGGGCTTTCTTGGTCCTGCCAGTGAGATCCATGGACTTCAAAATCCTCCCCAAGATCCCAGGCTCATACTCTACCCAGGCAGCCTGCGGAAGAGGTGGGTCACCACCCCATGGGAGCTGTCCACCATAATGTCACTTGAAGAATGGCTCAGACCTTCCTTCAACCAACACTTCTTCCTGCTCACTTTGACTCCTGAGCTTCCCTTCTCCCAAGGGGCTGACCACACCATAGCCCTTAGCACTTGCTCAAAGTCTGTTCAGCCATCTGATCCTATAGAAGGACTCACAGGCAAATACGCCTGCCTGGCATGGCTCATGGCTCACGAATTGGCTGGAGCTGTTATGTACACCATGGCGGGCTCCTCAACCCTTCTGTCCTGTTTCCTCCTGGCCCAGGCCCCAGGGTAGTCTCCCACAGCCACACCTCTCCCATTAGTACCAGCTGCCCTCTCTCTAGCCACTGCTGGGATGACTGGCCTCCTGTAGGGTCGGGTAATTTTAATTAGATTTGCCTGCCGGGGGCAGCCTGGTTGCTCCAAAGCACATCAGGGAGTCTGCATTTCATGTCAATAAATGTAACAAGACCCTTTCCATTCAGATTAGTGTCTCAGCACTGACTTTGGAAGCCCCCATCACAGGGCCCTTCCCAGAGCCACAGAGGAAGGAAGGTAGGGCAGGCACCTCCCTGTCCCTGCTGAGAGGCAAAGGGCCAGTGTGACAAAGGGGAGGGAGCTCGCCTGTGCCTGAGGTTTCATTTGTGTATGAGGGTGTTAATGAAATGTATTGGGTCCCTTCTGATGTGGAAGCTGGGGTAGGGGTGGGGGCAGAGCCTGTTTTTAATTGGATCATACCAGAGCATCATCTGGGCTAATCAGCAAAGGCAACCAGGAGCTCCCGCTCAGATTAATGATTGCGGTCTAATCCGAGCAGATTCCATGATTGGATGCACATCCTGGCTAATTGTGTTTGTGGCCCAGGAGCAAGGATGAGAGGGGGTCTGGGGAGGGGAGGCATCTGGGGTGGGGGTGGGTCTTAGGTTTGGACCCACTGGGTTCTCTCCTTCCCCAACCCCCACTCAACCCTGATATTTTCTCCCAAAGAAGTTCAAACTTCAGTGGACCACAACACCCCACCTGCCTCAGATGTCCGAAGGTGGTCAGGTGTCAGGTACCATCTGAGACCTGGAGATTAGGTTGCTGGCTGCAGAGACAGGGCCAAGAGGGTGAGGTTAATCCAGCTTTCCACTCTCCCTCCTCTCCTCCAAGTCTCCTTCGTTCCCCTTTGAAGTGAGTGGGTTCCCATGGAAACCACGATGTCCTGGGGAGCAGAAGAGTGGCAGGGAGATAGGCTGGCCAGGTGCGAGTGGGGGAGGAGGGCGGCTTTGTGTGACTCTTTGCTAAGGTATTGGCTGTCTCCCCTATGGCGAAAACCTCTCCAGAGCCCGGGAAGTGGCCCACCTGGCAGTGCTGAAGGAGTTACCTTTATTGATAAGGAAATACTGGGCTGGAGGCGTGAGCAGTGAAAAAATAACCGGGGCAGTTGCACTTTGCTTCTCCATTAAAAAAACTGGAGAGGGGCCGGGATTTAGCTCAGTGGTTTCGCTGCCTGCTGCGCAAGCGCAAGGACCAGAGTTCGGTCGCCGGTACCAAAACAAAACAAAACAAAACAAAACAAAACAAAACAAAAAAAGCTGGAGAACTGAGCTGCAAGATCAGGGGAGAGGGTGAGATAGCTTCTGTACCCAGTATTTCTCCTTTATGGCAGTACTCACACATTAATTAATTCTGTTGTTAACAGTATTTCTGCCCCACCACCACCACCATCACTAGACTGTTAACTCCATGACAGGGCCCATGTCTGTCTTGCTTATTGCTTTGTTTCCAGTACCTTACACCTGACTTATCTTATTCTGAAGGTTAGGCAACACCCATAAAAATTCTGTGGTTCTGGACTGATGTGATAGCAAATGGCTCTAGGGAGTTGGGGATGGGGGGAGGGGGCTCTGATTTGTAGCAATTCCCAACTTCCATGGTGTAAATGCTCCGACCGTGGCCCACCCCAAACCCCCAACATGTACTCCTGAACCCTGGTGGATAGAAATATGCACAGCCAACTCTCGCCAGCCTCAAAGTACAAACCCAGACAAGGAGCCAAGTCACGGGAGCAGTCTTTATTTCTAAACAGGTGAACGCATCCTGTATGCTGATTCTTTGGGGCGACATTACTGCCACCCTGGGCCATGGTCTACATTCTTAGTCTCACTGTCTGGTCTAATTCTGGATTCTTAGTTTGGAATCTTCTCTTTGAATGAGTTAATATTGTAACAGTGTCTAGCCTCACATAAGTGTTTTATAAGTGTCTGTAGCTAGCATTTTCCACCTGAACCTGGGGGCAGTGAATTTTCTCCTCCAAAGACTGTCTCTTTCCATCTGCTTGCGCAAAGCTCCACCTTCACTCCAATGTCCCCACCTTGCCCAAGTTGTTTCTCAGCATTTCCTGGCTTGGGAACTCCTTTCTGGCAGCTCCAGAAACCCTGCTTTAAACTTTCCTTCTGCCTCCTGCTTAGCTTCTCGGCTCTCAGAATCTTGGCATTTCCTTACCACAAGCCTAGGTCTTCATACTAGTCTCCTCTCCCAATAAACTGTGTGCACAGAGCTTCTACCCAGGTGTGCCCTACC